TGGCACTTTCGGTAAAGAGGTTTTAAAAATAGATTTCTTTGCCGAGTGTCTGAGGCCGTGGCACTCGACAAAGAGTTTTTTAAAAAAATAGATTTGACATCGGCCGTCGGCCGACGGCGTCAAATCTTTACCGAGTGCCCGAAATTTGGCACTCGTCAAAGCAGCCTTTACCGGAAGGGGATTCGACGGAGGCTCTTTGCCGAGTGTTGCACTCGGCAAAGGCTTTGCCGAGTGCAACAGGCACTCGGCAAAGAGCCCGCCTCTAGTAGTGCTGGGCCTAGACACAGTGGCGGAAAGCCGTGGGACCCACCTGGCCCTACAACTTTTGCGCTTAAAAACTTATATAATATATAAAAAATTATAATTATAGATGTTGATTGTGTAATATTTGAGTTAATCAACTTAAAAACCAATACGCTTGGCTAGTCCGGGATCCAGCACTATCTAAACAGTGATTTTTTTCGAAAAAAACAGAACATCTCTTGCGTTATCGAACGACCTTTTAACCAAGTTGGTGTACCCCACACCATGACACTCATATGGCCATCTATACACTCCATATATCTCATACTAAGGGCCTGCTTGGTACTGCTCCACAAACTCCATCGTAGAGCAGCTTCACAAAAAATCTAGAGTGTGTGGAACACCTCTCTAGGTGCTCTCGTAACTTCACCTTTTTTCCTCGAGTAGAGTGTGTGGAGCTAAACCTGTTTAGCTGAAAAACATGGAGTAGAGCGGTCCCAAACACCCCCTATGTGTATTTCTAGTATTTAAAATTTGTCTTACAGTAGATGCATTTCTAGGTAGTATATAAAACCGCCGAGCTCGAGCTCTAGTAGGAATGCATGATACACTCTTTTCTCTATTTTTCAAAGTGTAATTATTACATATAGAATAAATTTTTTTCTCGAATACGCAAAAGACTTGCGCATATTTATAATTAAGATAGAAAAGTTTGATACAAACAACGCGCTTTTGGCTAGCGCCCTAGGAGGTATACATAATCAAATAGATACACATTACGATATTACACAAATAATAGATAACCAGGAAAGAGTGGATCACTTATTTATCAGCAACTTATTACATCTAGAACAATTTTGACAGAGATATATATGGCTATATGGGTAATTTTCTAGTAATATTGAATTTCTCAGCAAATTCTAGAGGTGCACTTATTTATCAGACGAAGTAGGCCTTGTTTAGTTCGTGATTAGGAATCAATATTCGACACTGTAGTATTTTCGTTTGTATTTGACAATTATTGTCCAATCATGGCCTAACTAGGCTCAAAAGATTCGTCTTGTAATTTACAATCAAACTGTGTAATTAGCTATTTTTTATCTACATTTAATACTCCATACATGTATCTAAAGATTTGATGTGATGGAGAGAGAGTGAAAAAACTTGGAATCTAAACAAGGCCGTAGTATATCTATGCTCGGCATGACACATCGACACGACAGGTTTACGCTGCCGCTCTTCCTTTTTCGTCGAATGGATCACTGGCGGGGCTAACCGAGCCTGTCGTCGAGGATAGAAATGATGGATGGGTAGACGCATGCAGAACGGAAGACGTACAGCAATGGATCGGCGATGATAATAATTCAGGTAGCTAGCTTTTTTCTTCTCCGAGAAATAATTCAGCTAGCTAGCTACTAGCAGCTACGCCGGTCGGCATGCTCCAGCACACACATGCATGCATGCAGGAGTACGTACGGCCCTCCAGGTGTGTGGGCTCTCGCTCGGCTCGACTCGATGATGTACGTGACGAGCTGACACGACATGATCGATGTGTGCGCCCTGCCCTGCCCCACAAGGCAGAAGGCGCCAGCAGGCCCGCCGCGGCCGAGCTGCTCTCCCAGCGCCGCCGTACGGCCGGTCTGCCAACGGCGTGATCGCTGGGTGCCCGACCAATCCCGACGCGCCCGATCTATCGGTTCGACAGCCCAGATCCAGTACACTGGCAGTGTATGTAGCTCTGCCACCGCTCTGTCTGCGCACCTCTTGTTGCTGGATCCGAGGCTCGTATTGATCACTTCTCGCGTGGGCGACCGGGTGGGGGTTCAATTCCAGAACGCGGGTGGGGGCGGGCCTAGCTAGCTAGCCGCGTCCGCGTGCATGCATGCGCTGCGGACGAGCGAGCCGCGCGCCGCAGCACCGATCGATTGCTGGTTGGCCACAGTCCACAGAGGAGGAGGAGGAGGAGGAGGAGGAGGAGAGGCGGGGCAGCCAGGGCCACGGCGCGCTGCGCGCACATGCGCCGTATGAGCGTGGGCTCGCTCCGTCGAGGCTCCGTTGCTGTTGAGCGAAATTCCGTGGACCATGGGAGCTCATGGCCATGTCCGGGAGCAAACTATAGCTATCGAGAGAGAGAGAGAGAGAGAACGGATGGCGTGCACATGCACTGGTGCATACGGCGCGGCTCCGACCCGGCTGCAAGCAGGCAGGCAGACGCTGCCGTTGCGCCATTGGCACGCCTGTCGCGAGCGCCGAGCAGCAACAGTTCAGTTGGCGTTTAGCTGTCGCGATGGGGATGCAAACGTTTCGCCAGGCGGCCAGAGGGACATTGATTGTGTCATTTCCAAAACGTGTGATTGATGAATCGGCGCCCGTACTGCGTGCTGCTTTTCACGCTACTGTCGATCAACAGCGCCCAAACCATCCTTCGCCGCTGCGCTTTTGCACGGAAGGTACTGTAGCTGTAGCCTTTTGTACGACATTTCCGAGAGTTTTAAGGTTGTTACTGGTTATTATTCTCAGGTATTTCGCGATTGACAGGTAGGTAAATCCGTTGTTCACAGTGTGCTCCTCGTCCTAACCGTTCTATAAAAAATTCAGCGTAACCTAATTCAGTATTGTTTCATGTTTTGATGGGACTACGTTTATGCTGGCTAGATCGTCCATTAATCCTAAAGATTAGCTGATGAGTACATTATGCCACGATAGAATTGTTAGGACCGGATATGCATTGATTTACCAAGTGTGTTATACATAGGGCCCCTTTGGTAAACTCCGGCTCCGGTAAAAAACAACTCTAGTTGTGGCTTCTCTGAAAAATAACTTTTCTTGCTTCAGCTTCACTAGTTAGAAAAAACATTCGGTAAAACAATTTCTCCTAGTTGTTGGAGAAGGTGAAAAGTTCATAATACCCTTCTCTTTTTTTCTTTTATTTTTTTCTTTTATTTCTGTTTTCTCTCTCCAACTTATTCCGTGATTCCCGTCTCCCTCACGCCTCCACCACATGCACTTTCATTCACTGTGCGCGCTCTCCCGACGCTCCCATGTCATCTTGCCGCCCCCACGCCACCCCTTCATGCCATCCTACCACGCCATCTCATCGGATCGCCGCTCCCTCCTCCTTCGCCTATGCCATGCTGCAGAAGCCACGCGCCCTCTACGCTACGCCTTCTCGTCAGAATCTCCATGCCCTCTTATGTCTCTTGCGCCATGCCACAGGAGTCAGTAGGAAGCCAGTGGACAGGGGCATCGACGTCTACCCCCGCGTGCCACGATACGGAGCGGATGGAAGCTAGTTTTTCCAGCTCCACCATCCACCCAACCCCCCGTGAGAGTACGTTTTCCGTGGCTTCGTGTGTGGAGCCGGGCAGAGCTGTCCCTACTTGGTAGAGCAAAGGCTAAAGCGGCTGCGGAAGCGGGTGGAGAAGCTCCACCAAAGAACCCCTTATTTAAGCAGTTTACGGGTTGTTGAACCAATTTGCACCAACTTGCTAAGTTGGTCTATGATGTAGTGGGTACAATTTACCTTTTTTATTTATGATGTAAAAAATATAGTTTCATACATTTTAGTGGGTCTTAGATACTTTTGATGTGAAACTTTGCGACAAAAAATGCAGCAACATAAAAAGATGTTTTTATAGTTGTATATATAGTTCTAGACTTTAGTACTTCAGGAACGACGATTAAGGTTTCTGGAGGTTTTTTTATAGGAGGAACAAGTTGGTTCTAGTTTTTTTTTCTTTTGAGGGCAAAGTATGGTTTTTTAGCAGAATATGGGGGTTTTTTCTTGAAAGGTTTGGAGAGATATGGGAGCGGTTTGGTTCGATGATTTGAGCCTAGTAACCATTCACGGTGTAAACAGGTAACGTTGTTGGACTTTGGATAGACCGGCCCGTAATAGATTACACCGTGAATAGATTACATCGTTACCCCTCCCTTTCGACCGCTAATCGTTCCGTTCTCGGAGTCAGAGTCGAGACTCGAGACGCCGCCGCCTCCGTCCTCATCACGGAGCACTCTCTCGCGCCGCATCTCCTCCGCTACTCTCTTCTCCAGCTCCGGCCCGGCTTCGACGGTGAGTACGATGCATCCCATCCCTTCTCCCTCTCTCCCGTTCCTCTTCCTTTGACACCAACAGTTCCTCAAACCCTAACCATAGACTGTGTTGTTGATTTTGATGGGATTTTTAGTGAAAAGGGGAGCTTTGGAAGAGGGGCATGGGGAGAAGACGACCTGTACCAATTCGATCGATCGGATCAATGTGCGTGTGTTCTTTCATCAATGCACTCTTTTCCCTGAGGCCCCGTTTGTTTCTCTCGGAATTTTGCCATGGAAGATTTCCACCTAGAACCACCGGCTAATTTATATAACAATCCTGGTATCATTCTGGAACAACCAAATGAGTCCTAATGCAGTTTCCGTTCCTTTCGCTGAACCAAACAAATGGCGGTATCAATTGCTTTGCAACAGGTACCGGTGGGAACTGGGAAGGAGTTCCATTGCCGTTCCCATCCCTTTTGCTGAACCAAACAGCACCATGGTCCTCGTACTACAAGGGAAAAAATGTAAACGTTGATTTTTCAAAAAAAAAAAAGATATGGCCCAAAAGTACGCTGAAATCCAACTGACCAGCCCGGCCCAACGACCCAGCAGCCCGTTCGAGACGGAAACTGCAAATTCCCCAAAACTATCCCTCGGCCAAAACCCTGCCGTTTGCCCGAGCCCGCCCCCCTCGCCGCCCGCCGCCGTCGCCGCCTCCTATGCCCTTCCGCCCCTCGCTACCGCGCCGCTGTCCCTTTGACCGCAAGCTCACCTCCTTCCTATCCGCTGTCGCCTCCCTCGCCGACACCCGCTCGCCCCCGGCCTCGCCGCCGGCCGGCGCAGTGCCTGCAGCTCTCACCCCCACCGCTTACAACGCCCTTATGTCCGCCTACTCCCGCGCCGGCCGCCACGACGAGGTTCTTCGCCTCTTCCGCTCCCTTCCTTTCCCGCCTACCGCGCCACTCTTCACCACCCTCATCTCCTCCCTCGCCGCCTCCGGCAGCAAAAGCGCTGCGTTGGACGCATTCTCCCTCCTTGCTTCCGGCCTCGGACCAACCACCTCCGCTTTCACCGCGCTGCTTAAGACCATCGACGCTGCCCCATCCGAGTCGGTGTACCGCGCCTTCTTCGGAACCATGGCTGCTATGGGGTGCGCCCCTGACGCTGCCACGTACAACTGCCTCATTTGGATGCTCTGCGATTCCCAGCGGTTGGACGAGGCATGGGGCGTCCTTGACAGCATGCTAGAGGAAGGCGTCTGCCCCACCGTCCGCTCCTACACCGCGATACTGCACGGGTACTGTAAGCAGGGCAGGGTCCTCGAGGCAGAGAGGTTAGTTGATACCATGATCCAAGTCGGGTGCGCACCGGATGTCATCTCATACAGTGTGCTCATCCAGGGGCTTTGTCGTGTAGGGGAATTTGGCAAGGTAGAAAGAATTTTAGGGGAGAGTGAGGCGAAGGGGTGGACGCCGAATGCTGTTACCTATAATATTTACATGTCTGCCCTGTGCAGAATGGGTTTCTTGGATGAGGCATTCCGGCAAGTAGATGTTATGCTTAGCAGAGGAGTGTCCATGACCATTGTGACTGTGAATATTCTCTTCGATTGCTTGTGCCGTGATTCAATGTTTTCAGAAGCAGTGTCCTTGCTGGAATACCGCGAAGAACTCAACTGGAATGTTGATGTGTTCTGCTATAACACTCTGATGAGTAGGCTTTGCGACGCTGGTGATTTTGCTAGAGTCCTGAAGCTGTTGGTTGATCTTGTAAAGAAGGGAATTGGGCCAGATATGTTTAGTTTCACTATTGCAATCCGGAGCCTCTGTAGGGCTGGGAAATTCAAGGTGGCAAAATGCCTATTGGATAATAAGGGTATTGAATATGATGCTGTGGCATTCAATACTTTGATTCATGGTTTGTGCATGGCTGGTGATCTCCATGAAATGTTGCAAACTTATATGGATATGACCAGTAGAAATGTTTCTCCAAACAACTTTACCATTGGTATGGTAATTGACAGTTTCTGCAAAAAGCAAGAGTTTGGTGCAGCAATCGAAGTTTTTCTTGAATATTCAGAAGGATGTTTGGTTCCTGATCATTTTTTTCGCCTGAATAATTGGTTGGTAAAAGCAAAAAGATGGGAATATTTACTGACCCTGCTCCGTGCAATGCGTTCTAAAGGTCTTGTGCTAGATGTTTGCTTATTCAATTCATTGGTTAGGATGTTTTGCTGGGAGGGGTACTGTAAGAGTGAGACTTTCTATGAAGTTTCTCTTATACTTGACAGTATGCTGGAATGTCTCTCCAGCAAACAGCACAAGTCAGCCAGTGATGTAACTGTATAATCATGCAAAAATCCAGTTTTCTGTCTGATCCTCCCAAAGCTATTCAACTCGCTGTCCAGTAATACATTGAACTACTCAACCTGCACCAGGTCAGTTGGGACTGATGACAACAAATTGTCCTGTTTATATGCTTTATTTATTAGCTTGTATACATGACGTCAGTTCCTTCTAGCTTTTCAGGTTAGGAGGAACTAAGCTATGGCTACCATGAACCACTTTATGTGGCAAAAAGATTCAAGCAGTCGAAACAAGATTATCGTGATGAGCCTAAAGGTATGCTCTTTGGCTTAAGATTTTCTTCCCTTATAGACAACACAGTTGTTGAATTTTAATCCGTCATTAATTTTGCACTGTGCTTTTCTTTCCAGTAGATTTTTTTATATATTAAATTAAATTAAATACCTTTGACTTTAGTTTTCTCAGTGTCACATTTATACTGTATAACATTATAGATTTTGGTATGTTCCCCACTCCGGTCAAAACTCTAAACTGACATTAGGATGTAAATAAGTTTTGATGTCAATTGAAAGGTTTCGGGCTGCCCCTTCATTGTATTGAATGATTAGAAGAGCATGTATGTAGGACAGTGTGTTTGTGACTGCCTCAACAACGTATTGCCCTTCAGTCATCAGTAGTCAAGTATATTGCTCAGCTGATTTTTATAGCTCGTTATCTTTGATTGAATAGATGTGATGGACCTGTACTGGCAGAGGTTTCAAGGATTTTCCACTGTATGGGTTATCAATGGCTCTTCTAAATCAACTTCTGGCATCAAATGAAAACAAGTTGGTGCTAAATAGATGCCTTTGGTATTTGCTAGCTAACTCTTTTCTATTGTCCTTCACTTTTAATAAGTTGTTTATGCTGTTCTTGTTGTTTTTAGTCTGGCTGCTAAATTTGAGAAGAACTTAACGATCACAAGCAGTGGCGGACCCAGAGATTTTCTAGAGCCTGGGCGAACATAACAATTAATACCAAGTTTGCGCAAACACATCAACTACTAATAGAAGCAAAATCGATAACGTAGGAAGTTTTGTTATAAATTAAGAATTAGAAAAGTATGCAAAAGTTCTAGAATTTGGGACGGACGCGGTCGTTCTTGTGAATTTGTGTTCTATCATGCAGCGAATGGCATCGAGTGGCATCTGGCAAGCCTAAAGGCTGATGCATGTCTCTCTGACTGCGTGTGTGCTACTTTTTCTTAGCTTGCTGTCTGCACTGCTCGTGAATGAATGACAGAATGAGCCCGGGCAGGCGCCCAGGGTCGCCGGGCCCTGGGTCCGCCCATGATCACAAGGTTTTTGACCATCAATTATACCATCATTTTATTGCTGTTATACTTTGGAATTTAAGGCTTAAAATTCTTATTCTCTACCGCATGACGTTGCGATATAGGTATTCTAGTCATTGGTTCTGCAACTTAGTTGCTGTGTAGGTTCTTGACAACAATTCAATTGTTGCAACTTCAGAAGTCAGAACTAGGTTCTGAACAGCTATTATCAAGTATTTACAGTGCAAATCCGCTCGTAATGTTGAAGTAGTACTCATTATGTGTGAATTTTCAGGGTATGGTAACACCACTATTTTTATGGTGCTGTAGCTATGCTGGCAGAGGTGGTATATGTATGATCAAACACTTTTCCTGTATATGTTTGGGTCAGGCTATAGCTACGGTATGATAGATTTCATCTAGCCTGAGATATTCAGTATGGATAATCGGTTGCCTTGCGCTGGAGCAGATACGAACTTACGAAGCATCATTGTTTACTGTAATATGGTTAGATGGACCTCATGAGTAGATTAATACAGTAACTTGTAAGTTGTACCTAGGACTGATGGTGCTGTACATATATGGAGATCTATACGAAGGAATTGTATTAAGTGCAAACAACATAAAAACATACTTATAAGTTTGAAAAAACCAAAATTTATACATGTAAAGGAAATGTTATATAGAAGCATGTAAAATTTTAAGACCAAACGCAACCGACAGAACATAGCACATGAATTGTTTCTTCACTTTGTGTCAATGATTTGTCAGTCTCATATCTAATAAATGAAATTGAGTTTGTTCTTGAAACTTTATGGTCTGCACCTATATCTTCTACATTTATATAATTGTTTAGGGATATTTAAAAACTTCAATTTGTAGTGACCATCTATATCACCACCTGTCCTTTTGACAAGGGAAGGGAGGGGTTGATTTCGCGATTCAACCTAGAAAGATATTTCCACTCAGTATTTTCCCGGAGAAGGTAGGTTTTCTTATCTGGATGGCTAGCCTGGCTTCTTGTTGCCTTCACTCTATTCAGTGAACGGCCATTTTGGAGTCATCATCCGTCACTACAGAAATCTTTGCGGAACCTGTCCATGTAACTGTGTATCGAACTTTGCAATTGCTCTTGATCTGGTTCAACTAAAGACTAAACTTTGCTTGTTTGATGGTTATCTGAACATTTATGCTTCGGCAGATCTAGAAACATATGCTAGGATATAGGATAGGTGTCTCCCATCTTATTTTCTACATTTAGTCCATTCTTCTAAACTTCAATTCAATCTCCTTCAACTAAAAAGAACAAAGCGTGGACATTTTTTTGTGCGACATTTGTTTTGGTTCGTCTGTCTGCCTATCCATGCGAATCGCCTCCCCCTCAGCCCCGACGCCTCCCACCCTGCGCGACTCCCCCGACGCCTCCTCTCCCACGCGTGCGACGACGACGACTCCATCTCTCATCCCACCGGGTGAGGGAGCCGCCCACCAGGTGAGGGCATCGGCCAAGGATGCCAGGCCGCCTGCCAACGGCCACCACGGCGCAGCCCCCCCCTCCCTCATCCCCACGAGGGCGGGTCCCGCACTAGATCCGCCGTCGTTGGTGCCCATCCTGAAGGTCCACGCCGCCACCCGCACCACCCCGACGCCCACGGCCTCCGCCTCCAATGACGACGACCTCGACGCCCACGGCTGTGGCCACTGTTGCACCGTGGCTCGAACCCGTGCCGGAGGCGGAGCTGACCCTCGACACCGTACCTGCGGCCGCCACTCCCTGCCTCCACTTCGCCCCCCGCAGGCAGCAACACATCCGCTTCCCCTCCCTCCGCCTCCTACGCGTCCGTACGAGCCCCCCATCTCTCCGACCGTCCACCGGCCACAGCGCGCGTAGCCCGAGTGCCTCGTCGATCGCCGCCTTCGCCTCCATCTCTTGGCCCTCTTCCTCTCCACCGGCCGCAGCGCCCGTAGATGCCACGCCCGGGTGCCTCGCCATCACCGCCTCTGCTTTGTCCTCTCCCTGCCCAGTGCGTAGACGCCGCCACCGGCAGATCTTTGTTGCCTCTTCCTCTTGCCCAGCACCGGCGCACGTGGATGTGGTACCTTGCTGTGCCGGTGGCTGCGGCAGCGGACCATGACAGAGGGGCGGTGATGGCCCAGGCGCCGATTAGAGGCCGCGGCCATCGTCATCTCCGTCGGCAAGTATGGGCTCCATGTTGTCTTACAATACCTCGCCAGACCTCGCCGCCATCCTCGAATACCTTGCCATCGTCCTGACAACGATAGGTACGTGTACCCTCCTTTTCGATCTCGAATTCTCGGTCTGTCCGATCTCTGCCTTCTTCTCGATCTCGATCTCATTGTTGCGCCCGGATCTGATTTGGTTATTTCTTCATTCCTTATGCGTGATTTCAACGCCAAAGAATTGCTCTAGGCATCGATAATAACCCCTTCTCTACCAGGCCAGTCAGGCGGACCGACGTTGGCAACGTCTAAACGGCCAAACCAATTCCATTTTTTTAGAAAAACACTGGCCAATGATGGTTCAGCTTGGTGCGTACCAATCTGACTTCGATTGTCTCATACTATTGTTCCATTTCCATACTTATTTATATGTGTACATGGCATCTTTATATGCACAAATATGGTACTTCTAGCATTCCCTATTGTTGGTTCATGCTAAAAACCACTTTATCTTTACAGTTATGTTCCAATGAAGATGTGGAGGATCTTGATTCACAATAGAACCTCATGCTGGTCATAGTCTCCACTTTTCTTCTTTCAATAATGACAATGTGAGATTAATAGTGTTCTTAAAATTTAAGGAAGTCCTTCTGCCATTTATGTTTGGACTAAATTTTCTCACCAATACTTTTGTAACTATGTCTGGTTTATTCTATAGTTTTCTCCATGAGTTGGGAATATAGTCTCACTTACTACCATCATCCCTTCCATGATGGCGTGCTATCCTAAGTGTCGCCTCGGCAATGTATACATCAATGGTCTGTTTAATTTGGATCCCTCTCTACAGGTGAATCGCGAAAAAGGAAATAATTTCTTATCCAACTAGCTAATCATACTTGGTTACCTAGCAGGTGAATGAGATATTGCATTGTTCATTTTTGCTGCAGTAATATTGCCCATTTATATCCTAAGATATTATCTTCAGATAAGTTCACTTTGGAAAAGGATTTTTTGTTCATTTATATAGTCCCACCTTTTTACCAAGTTAAGAATCCATGTTAATATATTGTGATGCAAGAACTATTCAGTTCAGACTGCAAAAGTTCGCCTAATCATCATTGCTTTTTACAGGGATGAGATGGGAGATAGCTTAAATATATTGTGTCTAGATCAATGTGCAATTGAATCAACTGAGAGCAAATCGATCTTTTCAAGGTTTGGTGGTATTTGATATTGCATTTTCAGTTTGTTGCTTGATATTTTCTATCCCCGATTCTTCATACAAATACCCAGTTTCTGATATAGTGAGTCGAACATTTCGATAGATATACTTATTTTGGGTTATCGCTGCAAAACATGGATTGTGTCAAATCATGTATCCTTGCAGTTGACCTGTCTCTAATCCTATCAATAATACGTACTTTGGATTATGCTAATTCTGTAGGCCTAACAATAGGCACCTTGATCGGTGGTCACGAATCCGGTTCGAAGAGCTGACCTGCTTCCTGTTCTACTGACGTGGTGATCGGTACTCGTGTTAAGCTGCCAA